TACTTAACTCATAGGATGGTCCTCAGGCAGCGTTGATCAAATACTTACAGTCTTCGCTCATCTTCAATGCGCAATGCCCAACATTCACATCCACGGAGGAGGACTGACTGGATGGATGCACGGTATGCACAAATCTTCCTGGCGATGGAGATATCACGTCGGGTCTATACGTGCTTTCGAAGGATTGAGAAAACCCGGCGCGCAGCATTGGTGCGGGAGATAATGTCGTCCTTGCTCTGCCCATTCGGTAGCAGCATCGCCCCAAGGTATTTGAAGTTGTTTAATTCCCGGGGGTGCCTTACCCTGGTCGGGGATACAGCTAGCGAATAATTTAGTCTTTCCGGTATTTATAGACATGCCAACCGACATAGTGATTTCATTCACCTGCGACGCTACAGCCTGTAGACCACCAACACTTGAGGCTAGCAGCGTAATATCACCGGTGTAGTCGAGATAAGTCAGCCGGCGTCCGAATGCAAGCTCAACACCGTATTCTCTACGTAGAGGTCCCCTCCATCGTTATTTACAGGTCGCTGTAAATTTTTCTCTGTTACGCATCCTGAGAGCGGGAGTGTTCCAAAAATGTATGCACATTTTAAATAATTGTAAACTTGGTGTTTCTTGTTATTTTATCATTAAAAAATTTAAAACTATTTACAAGTATCATTTTGTTGTTTTGTTTCACTGCATCTTCTCAAACTGACGTCCATTTAATCCAGACACTGCTGACAACGCGAAGCAATGAAATCGCACACACCATAAAAGAACTCCATTCTTATTTGGGCGCATTCATGTTCAATGGCTTCTCTCTTTCTCAATTATTTAAAATATAGCCAAACTGCAGTGGAAAAACAATAAACTGATACTTCTAAGTACTTTTAAATTTTTGAAATAGTAAAATTATAATAAACATCATGGTAGCAATTGTTCAAAATGTGTATCCCTTTTTTGGGACACCCTGTCTATTCGATTCTAGTGAGCCGCACTTATCCTTGCCGTGTTTGTTTTGCTCGAGCAATCTTTTGTAGCGGCCCATCCTTCCATTTTTCACAATTTCTGATCACTCTCCCATCATTAGATCCGATGGCTCTACTTAATCCAACCAATAACCCTCAGAGCATCAAAGTTACTGCCTATTGTTTTTACCCATCTATCCACCCCCACTTACTTTTCAGATGCGTCTCACACCGGCGCTTCCTCTGGGCATTGCGAGGCCGCGTTTTCTTGTCGCGTCGCTGCGGTCCTTTTCTGACAAACCCGCCGATCCCTATGACGGCTACACCAGATCTG